CAGCCATGCTGGCTGGGGAATTCTGGGAGTTGAAGTCCCCTCATCTTAAAGTGGCCAAGTTTGGACAACACTGCCTTAATTGAAGGAACCTGGAACCACCGACCCTGCCAGGCAGATACTATGGGATCAGCAGGGCAGTTCCTATGGGAGGTGGGTGGTTCCTCAAGTAACCAGGCCCTATAGAAAGCGACCAGCACCTTGAATCGCACCTGGGAGCAAACCAGCAACCAGTGCAGCTCACGAAGCAGAGGTGTTACACGGGCATATCGAGGCATGCCCACCACTGCCCGCGCTGCTGCTTTCTGGACCAGCTGAAGCTTCCAAGTGGTCTTCAAGGGCAGCCCCACGCAGGGTTCATTGCAGTAGTCAATCCATGAGGTGACCAGGTCGTGAGTGACTGTCTGAAGAGCCCCCTAAGGGCACAACTGGTGCACTTATCCCTTGCCCTTCTCAAAGTTCATCTGGTGGCTGAGCTGAAGTTTAGCTTCCCCGGGAAGGTGTCTTTTTGTAATGGGGATAGTGGCTCAGTTTGACACCACCTGGCTGAGCCTCTGCCTTTTTTCCCATGGGAAGATGCATCTGAGTTAGGGGCTTTTAGCTTGACCCCCCCCCCAAATCTCCAGTATGTGTTTGACGAGACTCAGCTACAGCTTCCCTTAAAATCAAAAACTCCCGCATGACGTGGCCGGTTTCCCCCAAGGTTCCTGCTATTTCCACTTCTTCAAGTAAATCCTCCCCGTAGCTTAGTATGTAGTTAAGCATAAGTGACCCCCACCTTCTTCCTCCTCTGGTGGAGAAAGTCATCAGCATGACAGTCAGGCATTTTCTGAAAGGGCCACGCTTGGCCGAGTCCGTCTTCCAGCAGAGGTCAGGGCAATTAAAGTCCTCCATCACACTCTTCCATGCATCTTTGAAAGATTTGCCGTTTGGTTTTGGAAGGCACCGTCCACACGTTCTCCTGGGGTGGGTGGGTGGGCAATAGTAGGCATCGCAAGCAGCACGCCTTTTTCTTCTTGATGGTCTCTCATGTTCCTTACAGCATTGCCAAATTCATACATTTGGACTCCTGAGCAGATGGCGACATGCTTTGGACCATTGCTTCCCCCAGTGGCTGCATTCCAGTCATGGCGCTCATTCCACCAGGCCTTTTATTAAATCATGCTTGCCCTTCTGTAGGTTCAAGTTCATCTTGTTTATTTCCCATACTGTGAACATTACTGGAGTGACGACGAAAGCTGTGTATTTTACGGGCCAATGTTCTTTCTGATTTTTAACTGATTGCTTTAAGAGGTCCCTTCAGCAATACCTCTACTTCTTTCTAACTTCTTTATCAGAGGTCCTTACTTAAGGGTTTTCATTTTCAACCTTGCAAGCTTTAAGCTAAAGCTCTTCTGACCAAACTTACCAAGCCCATTTTATCCTTCCTTGTAAATTGTAAATTGGAACTCAGCGCTCCGTCATGTAGGTAACTTAGACCTCAGCCGCAGAAAGGAAATCTCTCTCATCAATGCTGTGTATATTATCAGTCGTTCAGCTGTAGTATTCGTTCTCTTCCATGTCCTTTTTTAGTATTGTTTTAATTCTATATATATTATGTATT